TAACGTTAACAAAGAAATTTCTTGTATAAAAAACTTTGCAAAAAACTTGGTCCAAAAAACTTTCTTCCTAACTGGAGTATTGTATCAAACTAGGAGAAACGCTACAAACAACAAAAATGAACTTTGAAAAACTGTTAGGCTAACAAGTTTTCAGAAGCCCACAATTTCAGTCCGTTATAATCTTCTTCAAATTGTCCATCCGTGCCTACTAACTTATGCATTTGTTTTGTTATTTGTACCTTTTTAAATGTTTCGAGCGATTATTTTACGTTTCATTCAATTTGGTAGCAGTTCCTACTACTATTAGAATTTCAAAAAATTTCGTGACGCAGCTCCTTTAAGTACTTGATATAGTTTCTCCAATAAACAGTAATTCCTAAAAAACCTGAAACTTAGTTTCGCACATTGATTAGAATTTGCCTTGAACATTTTGTTCCACAAACTTGTTCTTGTTAATCCTCATTTCTTTGAGCCCGCGTGGGAAGACCAAACTGAATGATTTCTCCTGCTATTTCTAATTGCAAAGAGAGTAAAAATTGAAGCAATGTGTATCTCATACGTGGTCAAAAAATAATAGTATGCCAATTTTACTATAACTGTAAATATTCAGTTGGGCATTTTGCCCAAATTGTGGGATAAATATTTCGTCAATTACTTCTGAGACATAACTCTCGTGATCGTTTGTGAATCAATGCCTTCCACCATTAGCTTTGCCATATCTGTTGACCTGTTGTAAAGTGTTTTGTAAGTAAAAGATTAAAACAATGTGGAGGGTGTTATTATTAATGACTGTCAACTTTAACTATTTGTATTATTTTTTTTTTCTCATAGGCTCATACGTTTCACTTCATTCCTCTTGAAGGGGACAAGTACCTCATTAAGACAAAGCTAACCGTGAAAGGATTGCAAACAGATGCTCATAGACAGTACGTATCAATAGCTCCAGATGCACGCACACAAATTGTACCTGTAAATCAAATATAAGTCAGTCATACATTAAATTTACCTCGTGATTCAGAATCAGATGTGGGTTATCGTAAGAAAATCGCTTGCGACATTGGTATAACTAGTAAGGGTCTTTTCTGAGATTAACGTCGAACTTTTCATAAGACGAACCAAACTCTATTTTGGGTCGACCTAATTTCGGTTAAGATCGTCTGTTGTGTCAGACGTCGAACTTAAGACGCGTCGAACCAATCGACTGAATCAGATCAGTGATAAATTTTTCCCGAACGAGGTTAATATACATCATACAAATTTTTAATTTATTAGTTTAGTTCGTCGCATGTGAAGATCCACATTTGTCCCGGAGACGATATTCAGACGTTATCCCTCTGAAGCAGACAGATAGAACGTTTTGGACGATCCAAACTAATTCAGACGAACTTAACTGAGTCAGACGTCGAGCTTTTCATGAACTTAACTTACTAGGTTTGGTTCGTGTCGTGAAAAAGTTCGACGTTAAACGAACTCGGAGCGTGAAGCTTATAAATAGGTGGTGAACTTTCTCACTAGGACACTTATCTTCTCTAATTTTACAGAACAGCAGATGAAAAGAACTATTTAGTGAGAGTTATCGGCGAAGGTTCTGTTGGGGAAATTGTGGTATGTATTGGTTATTTGTTAAAAGAATTTATGCAGAAAAGAATTGCTTTGTCATTTTTGGGAAGTATTGCTTTTGCCGTCGTTGTCGTTATTCCGTAAACTCCCTCTTGACGATTTGCACGATTTATCAAGCTTTGCAATTGTCAAAGATAACCTGTGGTTTCTAACATGTCCTGGGACTGAGTGTTTTCTTAGTATTTTGTTCAAAGGCTCTGGTTTTCTTTGCAGTGTTTGGAAGACTCAGTGAATTTTGGTGACATTGTTGTTGGTAGTTCTGTATCTCGAGAGCTGACAATCCACAACAACAGTGACTGTAGTCTGCATTACAATCTGTTCATTGACCAGGAGGTAACGGGACCATATGACGACGACCAGACCGCAAGAGATGTTCTAGGTAAGCTGCTCTTTCCATATAACAGCCGAGTGAAGTTTATCCCCTAGACATTAAACACTTAATGACTGGTCCCGAGGGGAACAGTTAATTTTGTTTCTCGAGAATCTCAGCGTTTTTCGAGACAGAGCCGAGGGAGACATTAAGATTCGAGGGAAACAAAATTAACTGTTTCCCAAGGGACCAGTCTTTAAGTGATTTGTTATATAGCCCACGAAGAAAAACCTTTTCGGTTACAAATTTATGAAAATAAATCTCGCGAGCGTTCAGCATTCGCGGGTAACAGTGCACTGTTACCTTTTGACGTCATAGATTTTGCAATGTTGCCCGCTCAGAGATTTTGGCGGGAAACAGTTTCATTGTTAGATGTCATGTGACCTCGAGTAACCAATGAGAGCACGTGCTGTTAGGAAAAAAATTCCAGTTTTGCTGTACCACTGAGCTACAGGAGACTTCACTTTCCATACTGATGACGTGTCACTACGAAGATCTGGGTAGCACGTTTGATTTGTTGAAGCAAATTTACAACCAGTTGAATTTCTGCGCTCGTTCCTCAGACTTCATTTGGCGGGAAAACCAGTGTTGTCTTTGCGAATTGTTGACTTTTTTCTCAGGTTATGGAATACTGAATGTGCTTGATTCTTTTTACATTAATGCGAGGCTTGTAATCTTATTTTCAGCTCTAGAAATTAGTAGCCAGAGTGGAGTCATACCAGCAAGAACGTCCCAGAAGATAACAGCAACAGCTTATCCGTCAAGGCGAATTGCCTACAAGTTTATACTCAGTTACGAACTTCTTTCAATGTTTGGTATGTATGCGATAGTCAGTGTTGTGCAGTGTTAAAAGATGATGTTACACGAGACTATTCGCAATAACGATTTTTAGCGCAACGCAGCGGTGCAACATTGTTACGGCATTGTTTGGAATAGTTACAACATTGTTCCAACATTACAACACAGTGTTGCGCTAAAAATCGTCGTTGCGAATCGTCCCGTGTAACATCACCTTAAGTAGGCCATTTCCGGGTTGCCTCAAGCCTCTGTTTCAAAGCGAGGCCAAGTGCAAAGCCATTGATATGAAAACGTTTTTTATTCTCATGCGAATAAAACTCATTTTTACAAGAAAGGTTTCGCACTTTGCCTGGTTTTGAAAGTGATAGTTTTTGGAACTCGGAAATGGCCAATTCTTTCATTTCCAAGAAACAGAATAACTTCCTAATTTGCTTGGAAAGTCCGTCATTTGATGCGTAAGATTTTATTCTGTGAAATTTGAAAATTATTTTCTCAGGCTCCCATGAGAAATTTTATGTGAAGACAGATAACTAATTACATCTATAGCCCTTGAAAAGTGTGAAAAAGAATGCAACGTGCTTTAAATTATTCTGGTACAAGGTTTTATCCACTGAAAATTAAAATTACTCAATGTCCTAATGGATTCCGTCTTCCGTTGTTTCACACCACTACTCTGACTTCAAGCCATTACGAGTAAGTATGTCGAATTGTTCCGGAATATGTATTTCTTTATGATTTCGTTCGGCAGATGACGGTAAGCCTTTCATAACGTGCCCCAAAAGACAACTTGCTGAACTGCAGTGCCAGGGAGTTTACCCGACTCTTTCTGTGACTGACGCCCGCTGCTTGGGTACCGGCAAAGGATACAGCAAAGTTCACATATGGAGTCTTTTTTCACTTGAGAGGTAAGCCGTGTGGATAACCTTTGATAAAAAAAATCGGCTGATGTATTTTCTTAAAGAGAAAGTCAAGTGCGCATGCACCTGAAGACCGTATTCAGCTTTCTTTGGAATACAAAGTATTTAACTTATCAAATGGTCTACTCATCTTTGCCACATTTTCCTTGTCACTGGACTTCGTGATAGGCGTTTTCATGACTTTAGAGACGTTGGTAAAATTCAAAGGTTGGAACCAAGACAGTTCTCTTGGTCCCGAACATGCCAAACCTAGATACCGGTAGGTGTGTATAAAGAAAGTGTGACTGTAATGGATTTAACCACATCCCCGGAATGGACATTGGTGAATGGCTTACTGTTATAGGCAGCCTCGTTTGATGAAAAGTGCTGTTATTTTTGTTGCAGTCTCAATGAATGTCTGGAATCTGATCCGTCTCCTTCTGAACTCCTTTATGCTGCAGTCACAAGACACAGGTTAGTAAAACGTTGTCAGTAGACGTAGGCAATGTAGTGATAAGCAGAAGGACAAAAGTTCTGTGGCTTGTATGACTTAACAGACTTGAGCAAAGATTGTAATTGTAGCTGAAATTGTAATACTCGGTTCATTTATAGCAGTCACAGAACCGTTTCATGGACATAAATGACTGATAAGGCTGAGAGATGTAGCCAGACTGTTTTAGAAGAAAATGTGTTGCGTTTGCAGTCATCACCTTTTGTAATTAATGTCAAAAGCGTGAAATGAACGTTGCTGCTTCAAGTCCCTATACGTTTCTAAGACCAAGCGGTAGTGCCTTTTTACAACTTGCATATCAAACCCTTCATACTTTGTAATGAGTTGATTTCACTTCCAAGTATTTCTCCACAAACATGCAAACACTTACATCGTTTTATTTGGTTAGATCCAGGACTGAAATATCTTTCTAGCTATCTTTTAAGCTCGCCAAATATTAAACCTCTACAGCACAAGACGCAGAGTCCCTGTCAACACAAGAGCCATAATGGACTTCAACTTTGGTGCTGCACCTCTGGGTGTGGATCCTTGTGTGGTGCATCTAAACTTAAAAAACACAGGATCAGTTCCTGCTGAATGGTAAAGGCGATCTATCTATGTCTCTCCAAAATGTCTACCCACAGGGGAAAACTCTAAAGATACAGATTTATATCGATATGTTCAAATTTAATATGACTTTCTTGTGAAATACAATTGACCGTTAGGTCTGTGCGTTCCTAACTATGGCAAACGCAATGATGTCAAAAGGAGTCTTGAGTCTTTTGACTCTTCTTAATGATAAACATGTAATAGAAAGCTAAGTTTGAAAAGAGAATATTGACGAGCTGTGAGGAAATTTCGGGTGCCATGACCCAATATCGCATACAAAATAATCTCAGCCCAAGAAGATAAGTTGTCAAATTTTCCAGACCAAATAGAATAAATGGAATCGCAGTAAAGAGTATGTGCTCCCCTTCACTTTTTTATCAGTCAGTTCACTTTTCTAAGGCAAAAGATAGAAATTTAATAATTTGTCTCGTATTTAAGGTCAAAAAGGTACGAAAGCACTTTTCCCTTAAATGTAAGTCGCAGGAACGCTTGCATTGCTTTCGTTAGACCAAAAGGCCGAACCATATGTTGTGTGACTGTTGGGTTGTTCCAGTCCATCAATCCCTGTTGACTTTCTACATTTGTATTTGATTTGCTAGTTCTTATGTTATTATGTCTGAAGTGCTAATATAATGCAATGATCTTGTTTTACTGCATCACAGGGCATTCTTGTTCCCCAGCGATCTTCAGTTGGAGCTCGAGTATTGGGCCGAGACAGGGGAATACGATGAAGATGAACTTCATGAGGTAAGACGTCTTGAACTTGGGTAAATTGGGCAATTTTTTGGCTAGCAGTATATTCCATGACGATTTGTCACTTTTACTGGCTATGCAATCAATTTGTGCTTCTTTCCCAAAGAATTTAAGCGTGACCTTTTATGTACTGTTTACCGAGAGTCTTTAAACCTTATAATACACGACTGCGAGTTTTTTGAACGGCTTTAAAATCTCTGATATAGATCAACTCATTTTTGCACTAATATTTAGATTTGGGGTTAGTTTGGACTAAAAAGATGGAACGTAAAGTTTAGCCTTGTCTCACTCATCGAACATTAATTTCTTTTGTTTTTCCTTTATGAATTATTAAAGAGTGTTTGAGTGTCAAAAAAGAAGTAATCTTTACAACACCCATAAATTGCAAGCCATTGACCAGGCAATTGCATTATGAAAACTTTTTCCTTTGCATATCTGAAATTAAACTAGTTCTGTTCACCATGCTGTAAAATTAAGTTACATTTTCTTTAAATAATATTATTCGTTTTTGCTCCCCCAGATGCAGGTAATGGATAATAAATTATTCAGCATTGAACCTCGAGGAGGAAAGCTCTTGCCAGGAGAATCACACACGGTGACCCTTACTTATAGGTAAGCAACTTTGAAATCTGTTCAAGAAAGACTTTCGTATCTTGCAATCACACACTGTGGCCCTTCCCTATAAGAAAACGCATTTGTAACCTATATAAGACAGATTTCAGCAGTCAAAGAATCCAAGGAAAAGGCCGATAGAATAGTTACCATTATGCTACATGTCATTGCCCTTTTTACTTTCTGAGCCAATTAGAATGGTAGAATTAGCACCAGCTACCTCTGGGCAGGTCAAAATTGTAAATCTGACTTTTGAACAAATGACATGTTTATGTTGTGGTTAACTTTTTATCTCAAGTAATTTTACTCGTGTTCCAACTTCATTAGCATACATTACCATACCCAGAAACAAAAGAAAAACAAAGATTACCTGAGATAAAAAATTAATTAACATATATACCTAATTCAATGAAGGTTGATTTAACAATTGGTTATTGGCAATTGGGTATTTGGGCATATGGAACACACTGCAATGATATGCTTGAGTGACCACCAAACAATATCTTCCCAGTGCATAATTCCAGTGCCTATAGCAACCTCCACTGAATCAGCTATGTGTGTAATGTTGTAATAACGTTTGGTTTGTGGCAAAAATACTATTGTGTGACCATTTGTAAAACACATTAGACGCACAGTCACAAGACAATTTGGGATTTCCTTCAATTTTGCCCATTTCTTACACCTTACTTTTCCACCCACGATTAATACAGATGTAAGCATTTTTGTTTCCTTTTGTTTTAGATTAGCTGAGTTACTAAATGTTGTTTTTGTACTTTGCTTACTAGCCATACAGTGATTGGTACAAACAGGCTTCCGGTGTTGTTCAAAGTTATGAGAGGGAGAGAAATTCTGGTAAGATAAAAACGATAGTGTAACATTAAGTCCCGTGCAAACGGACGAAACATCGTTGGGAGTTTTTGCGTTCGTTTGCGCGTAGCTAAAAGGTTGACCGGTTTCAAACTTTGCGCAACAACTCCCAACGATAGGCATATAACATGCAACAGGGGGTGGGGGGGAGGGGTGTAAAAGAACGCAACATGTAGCATCCAACAATGTTGGGAGTTGCTGGCCAACGACGTTACTTCTTTTTGCTCGGGGCTTCAAAATTTAGAACGGTGAAAACTGTGAAATCCAGCTGTAATAGAGCAATTCTAAATTGAGCACCGAGAGGATTCTCCTGATTGCTGTGGTCTTGCACTTCTCTGCTTTTTGATTGGTTAAACATTTGTTTACCAGTTTCTCGACCAATCAGAAGCAAAGGCAAAACCAAAATGAACTTGCCTGGAAAGTCTTTTTGAGAGGACTCTGCAATTTTTTGACATTTGTCCGGCATGGTAGTTTAGGATTTGTGATTGTGTTTTGATTATCCTTACACTTACCCACTGGATCGTGACAGAGCCTCTGAATAGCGCTTTCAAACTTCAAACTTCCTGTTTCTTCAGGTGAATTTCGTTGGTGTAACTGTGGATACTGAAAGCTACTATGTTCACTTTCCTACCACTCGACACCTGTTTGAACCTGTTCCAGTCGGAGGAACCTCACCTCCAGTGCAGGTATATGAGCTTTACAATGGAGGATCCCGAGCTGTCAACTATGAGCTGGACATGGAACCACTTGCACAAGTTCAAGCAGTAAGTGTATTCGCGCACTCCTTCTCTAGCAGGGCTGTCATTACGGTTTCAAAAGGCTAGTCTCTCAGAGAAAGCAGCCGGTCATTTACCCCACTGTTCCTCCTTTTTTTATGTTTTACTTATTAGAGAGCTTTAGATTCTGAGACGAGGACGACTACGAGTACGAGATTTTCTCAATACTGAGTATTGGTCAGGTGTGAAGCAGCGTCATTTTGGCGGGTTGTTTTTGTTATTTAACATGACTATCGGGCTTTTTTAAGGGGGACGAGACAAATCAGTTTTACTATCCCCAACCCCGTAAGGTAGGCTTCATACACGCGTTATTAATTGCTATTCTTTTCTTCTGTTCAGCAAAACTATGGCTGTCGAATCTTTGAGTGCCTGAATCCATCTGGAGAGATTCCGCCCGGATGCTTTGCTCTGATTTACTGGCAGTTTGCTCCACTCGAAGCAAGAACCTACATGGTCAGTCTAAAAGTGTTTTAACTGGTTTACTCTCTTACAGAGGCAGTTAACTTAATGTCAATTCGACCAGGAATGGTAGACGAAGAACCTTGATGTTCTATCTCTGACTCATCATTAGTTAAGTGTCCACAGTCTGTTGTCATAATTGCTGTGGTTTACATCACCACGTGATACGATTGGCGAAACATTTTCGAGCTACTTTTTTTCACCAATCAAAAGTATCAGCACAGGCAGCTCAAGAACACTGAGCGCACAGGTGTTTTTCATGCGCTTGGTATTCGTCTTCAATTCTAATTGGTTCAATGGATTGTGTGCCTTTGCTTTGATTGGTCAGCAAAGAAAAACACTTGTACCTTTTTTCCGGCGCTTGACGGTGGCCCAATGTAGTTGCCTTGAGCTGTGATTGGTTCGTTGCTTTTCAGGTGGATATTCCAGTACGTATCGTGGGTGGTGAAACAGTCCTGGTTACGTTCACTGGTGTAGGATACGACCAGAGGATCATGGGAGACACGCTACCTGTGCGTGACATGGGTAGCACCACAATACCGGCCAAACAGGTCGTGCAGGTTCCCAAACAGGTTTGTGTCTCCGTTACAGTCTTTAAGGCCCTTTATTTGTTGCAACAGTAGACCTCTTTAACTTTTATGGTTTGTTTTCCTGATGAAAGTCTCCAGGGAATTTGCCCCTTCAGCTTTTCATAAACCACGGTGCATATGCACTGGAATATGACAATATGAATGAAACAGTTCTTTAGAGTATTATCACATGAACTGCTTTGGGAAAGCAAAACATACAAGCTTAAGAGGCCTGTTACATTAGCCGTGACTGCAATATGTTGCAATGTTTCAAAGGCCCTTGTTATTTCTTGGCTTGTAATGCAAAGTAGTGTCCTTGTAATTCAGCATTTTAGTTCGGCATTTGAGCATTTCTGAACCATGCAGATCGATACTGTGGAGCGGATAGTCGGCTAGATGTTATCCGAAGTCCGAAATTTCGTCGGGCAAAAAAACTTTGCGTGTAGGTAGAATGAAGAGTGCACGAGGTTAAGCCGTTTAAACCAAATTTCTCTTTGAAGCATTGACAGAGAACCGTAACAAGACTTATTGTCTCATTTTTCGCAGGCAGAGAGTTTCTTGTAACGTTAAAGAGCGGTCATACTTAAGTTCGTTTCCCACCGCACTCACCGCGTGCATTGCGTCTTTTCGCGGGAAATTTCATAACTGCTCTTCTGATAGGTTACTTTATCGTGATGCTTAGACACCGGATGTAATCACCTCAGTAGCTGTCATGGTCGCTTCCTTTGTCGGTTTTTGTGTTTCCATGGTTATTTCACATGGTAAAATTATGGGGCGAACAAGAGTTTTGGGCTTTGTTCATACCGGATAACTTAGCCAGCGAGCAAGCTGTCCGGGGCGCTCTGGCGACGGGGCAGGAAAAGGAAGGAGAGCTCGCAACTACTTCTCTGGAATTTGAATTCCATCTCCAATTCCCCTGTAGCTCCCCGTCGACTGAGCTGTCAGATTCCGCCAATCAGCGCGACGCGGAAACGAGCGCGAATGTAAACAAACATTGAAAAACACGTGCCAAGGATAATGACGTCATTACTTATGACATTTCCGCCAATCAGCATTTCGCATCGACCTTTTCGATGCAAATATTGAAATTCCAGAGACGTAGTTGCAAGCTCTCCTTCTTTTTCCCGCCCCGCCGCCAGAGCGCCCCGGAGAGCTTGCTCCCAGGCTACGGATAGCTTTTTGTGTCCGATATATGTCTCTCCACTTTAGAGGTAAGCGCGTCACACGCGTCTACGTTGCAGAAATCGCGCGGAAATCACTGTTCTGATGTGTGAACAGAGGCCCTAGCCAGTATGGTTTTCGTGCCAGGGCAAAAGCTATTCGGTATTACATAAATTAGCTTCAAATTAGTAGTGGTATTTTAAAGTAATTAATAAAAATAGATATGATAAATAAAAATCAACTGTAAATAATCGGCTGATTTAACTTTGGCTGCAGTGTGATTATTTATAAACTTTATTATATAGACACGAGTGTTTTACTGGAAAATATACCACTCGTAAAATTCATAAAAACTACATCCGGGACCCGAGTGGTTTATTTTCCATAATCTCACGTGGAGTTTATCGATGACGTAATTTTGGTAATTTTCCTCTATTATTTTATTGATGGCATTTTGTCTATATAATAAAAAGAACATTACACGGCGGCTTGAAGATATGAATTTTATTTTCCCGTGGCAAAAACAATATTTTACTCACTTGCTGCCCTCACTCGTAAAATATTGTTTTGCCACTCGAAAATAAATTTCATATCTTCGCGCCACCGTGTAATATCCTCTCTTTCTCTCTCTCTCTCTCTCTCTATATATATATCTATCTTGTGTGAACAGTAGCCTTATTGTCCTAAGCTAGAAGGCCTAATCCTGCAGGGAACAGGTGCAGTGTAACCGCAAGTAATAGCATTGCAATTTTTTTTTCAGCTATCCTACCTCTCAGTGGAATGTATTTCGTTTGGTGACGTTCCTTTGTATGCAGTTTCGCATCGCATATTTTTTCTCACTAACTCGTCAAAGGATCACATCATTTCCTTTAGATGGCTCTTAGAAGGATCAGCATTGGAACAGGTACAAGTGCTATTAAAGCACAGGCAACCCATACTTTTTGAGCCGAAAGCATCAGTCACATCTGAAACTATTTTCATAGCCTGCACTGCAGGGCCTGGCTCCTCGCACGATGGTTAAGTTTAACCCACGATTAAGCCGAATTTTAAGCACGGTTTTCTTGTCTAAGAACATGTCACTCAAGCTTACAAAATACTGTTGACCGACCCTTTACTCTGAGATACATTAATAATAATACAAAATGTGGATCAATTTAGGTTTTGCCCACCTACCCCACCCATAAGCTAACTTTAACACTCACTTCTCACTTAGGGGAAAATGATGGCTTAGGGGAGGGGTAGGTGGGCAGTTTCCCTGAAACCTAAATTGAGCCCAAAATGTTACTCTAAGTAATGCACGGAAGCGTAAATGCAAAATAGTGGAACAAAAGTTTAATCCTGGATTAGCGCTAATCGGTCTTTCAGAAACCGGGCCCTCTTTGGCTGCGCGAGTGTTTTTTAACCGCGATGCTGAATTCTAATAAAGTTGATATTTGTACTCTACTCAGTCTTCTTCAGTGATAAGATCAAAGATGGCGGTCTCGACAATACGAACTTAGACAAGCAGCTTTAGCTCCCCCCCCCCCCCACCCAAAAAAAAAATGCCTGCATTGTAGTCTAGTATTTTCACGGGGTTTGATAGCTTATTAGCCCATCACAATCCTATTCCCGGGATTTTAGTCCTGGTGTATATTTATTGCGCTTCTGCCTGGGTATTGAAGGTGGATTACTTAGCTACTGGCAAGATACAATTGAACTGTAATATATAAAAGAAACCATCCGACAGGCCGTTTAAGACTTTGGAAGGTTTTTTTAAGCAAAAAGGCGACGACGAAGACGATAAATTACTCATTTCATTGAGTTTCATGGAGCGTAATTTTGTCCTCTTAGCTGATCTTTTTTTGTATTTTCATGAACAATTACTCCTTGAGCCCGAATGGGCTCTGAGTCAATATCCCATGAGGCCGAAGGCCGAATGGGCTATTGACTCAGAGGCTATGAGGGCGAGAGGAATAATTGTTTTAGTAAAATCCAACTAGTTGGTCAAAAATATCGAGAATAATAGAATTTTAGCTAGTTAAAGCTAGACTTTAATCCTTTTTTGCCGCCAAAAAGCCGGCGCTTTTCGCTACTAGTGGGCTATAACATATAGCCTAGTAGTAGCTCAACCAATCAGAACGCAGCATTGATAATAGACCACTAGTTGGATTTTACTAATTGCTGTTAACCTCTCTTGGTTTCTTTAAAGGTGGTTATGATAGAGCCTGATCATGGTTTTCTGAAACCACAACAAACTGTTCTTCTAAAGGTTGGTGAAATCCCCTGTATATGTATCCTCATTTTGCTGTTTGTTGTTCCTGGAAAATGCGCGATGTAACATAACAATATTACAAAAAAATTGATGTTTCATGTACATTATGCCTTACAATATTTTGTTTTCGTAGATTTCATTCTTTTCATGTGGTCCCCCATCGCACTACGACATGGATATCGTCTGTGAGGTATAGCTGCTGTTTCGTTCTTTACACATTTGCACTCATAGCTAAACTATTTTTGAAAACCGCACTAAGAGTTGGTACACGTTTGTTTGTAGATTGTAGACGAAACCGAGATGGCTGAATACAACCACAAGTTGATATGCTGGACAAACATGAAAGAGGAAAAACAATACACGTTCACCATAACGGAAAATGACTTTAAAAGACCGAGCTCTGGGCCACAGCTTAAATCTATCAAGCAACCCAATCGATCAATGTCCCATTCAGAGGGTGACTTGCGGAAATACCAGGCACTGCCTCCAATAGGTTAGTCACCAAAGAAGTACACTGAAGCTCCAGTAGTGGGGCAAGACACGGGTGGGAGCTCGGGAAAATAGGGTGCGGAAAGGATACGGTAGGCGGGAAGGGAAAGGGTAAAAGCTGGGAGTTCTGAAACGGTGGGAAGCGGGAGAAATAGGGGCCAATTACTCAACAATGATTAATATTTCGGAATAGAAAGAGGAAGAAAGGGAAGAAGCCAAGAAAAAGAGGCGGGAGGTTTGGAATCCCCAGCACTTCCCCCGGCAAATAGCGCACTTTGGGAAAGGGGCGTGCGTTTTTTGACACCTGAAGATATCCTAGTTAGAATAGCATGTTTAACCGTTCAGCTGCCTCTCTGAACTTTTCTTCGTTCAGCCACCTCCAACAACAGGTCAGGGCCAGGCGACAAAAGCAATCAATCAGAAACCGAGTAGGCGCCACGCATTCGGTGGCAATAGACTGGTAACGCATCCCTGTAAAAAAAGGCAGCACCAACGCAGTGATTTGTAAGAAATTGTCCTGCCAAGCCTTACCCTCGTTTTTCATTGTGTGTGAACGAAAATTATTTCATGGTTTAGCCGAGGCTTTGAACAGGTCTCGTTACATGTCTCTGCATTCTGTAACCTGATGACCCCTCGTGTTGTCCAACCGTAAAAGTGATCACGGTGGTTGTGCTCCACGCACACGCGAGGCGTGCGAACGGATCCCCATAAGTAAGAAAACGTAGTTATCTCTCCATCTGAGAAATTGTGGAAGTCACGCGACCGCACGTCCGCCCGTCCGTTCACACCACATGGCAACCAATGTGAAATGTCACATTTTCTAGCTAGTATGTGAGCCTGCAACCTAATATTACACGTTCATGCTCTGATCAATTGACAGCTGTCATAACGGGGTATCTGCTGACCAGTATCACATGACCCTATCGCGGGCTCAGGCTCAGGTGTCGACCCTGACGGTTACGTGTTTTTTTTGTTTTTTTGAAGTTCTAGGCTGTCAAGGTACTAGTTTCCATCTGATCGCAGACTCAACTCCCAGTGGATTTCTTTGCCATGGTTAATTTTATATATTACGGAATGTAACAATGAAATATTTTCTATTTCTGGCTGTTTTGTAGGTTCACCCAATGAGACAACAAGGAAAAAAAGAGGCGCCGCTACTCGCCAAGAAACACCACCCCCACCAGTTCCACCCGAGACATTTTTACTTCATCTGGGAGTTACCGCTAGGACTCATTCAATTGGGGAGTTTAATAGGAAGTTTTCTTCGTCGGTGGACAACTTTGTTATTGACCAGTGAGTCAGAGTAGCTTACATTTTCCATCTTTGTTACAGCTTTTCTCGTGTTGTAGAAGGTAGATGCACCATCAAATTTGTTGCGTGTATTGTTGAAGAAGGTAAAATGTGTTGCTCGCAGGGTTGCAGAAGATAGACGCAGTATGATGTTTGTTGCGCATAATGTTACGGTAGACACGCGAATAAACGTGCTGCGCGTAATGTTGCAAGAGGTAGGCACACGATGAAATGTGCAAGTAAGTAAGTTTGTTAGTTAGTAAGTTCGTAAGTTCGTAAGTAAGTAACCAAGTGGGTAGAACGAAAGAACGTAAGTAACTTTTTTTCTTATTTTGCAGACGTTACGTGCTGGCCCAGGGATCTGTTGGTAATCAAGAACGGGAGGAACTGTCTGCTTTAATAACCTGCTCAAGACCCGAGATGGGAATCATTCAAAACGTTCTCTCGATTATTCTCAGGTAAACTAAATAAATCACAATCTTTATTACTTTAGTTAGCCTGAGAAAACAGCCGACATTTCGCGACACCACCCGCACTGGTTTCACCGCGAAATGACGTCTGAGAAATTAGCGCAGAAATTCCATACTTACGACTTGCCACTACCCAGATCTGGATAGTGCTTGTGCTTGAATGAAGCAAATTTCCAACCAATCAGAAGAACTCCCCAGATCTGGCTAGTGACACGTCATCACAATGGAATTTCTGCGCTCGTTTCTCAGACGTCATTTCGCGGGAAACCACCGGTGGAGTCGCAAAATGAGGGTTGTTTTCTCAGGCCAAAACTTTAGCGTGCTAGGAACTATATCTTTGTGTGTCTCTAAATTCCCTTTGCGTCGTACACTGACTCCGTCCCTTAGAGCTGATTAGAATTCTGTGTGTAACCTATATGTATCATATACCGGTCTGTTTGCGTGTAGGGGTCTTCTGGATGACGACAATTTTCATCAAAGAATGGCCGAAATAAGCCAGGAGCCTGTCCCCTACTTTAGACAGCTTTGTGAGACACAATACACCACTAGTTCCAGACCTTCGTCGGCTAGCAGTCAAAGTAGTAACCAGTCCCGCTCTGGGGAGGAGGTCAGTGGTGAAGTGGAGGCAATACCAAGCACCAGTCAGGTAGCCATAAAGATCATGTTGAGGGATCTGTATCACGAAATTCATCTAAATTCAAACAGCTGGAACTGCCACTAAACAGAATGAAACATAAAAATAACTGTTCAAAACATGATAAGACGACATGAATAACAGAGTAAATACCAAAGGAAGCACGGATGGGCAAACATGAAGAAGATTGAAACGGATTGCAGTTCTGGTTTTTTTGAAAACTCGTTAGCCTAACATTTTTTTAAAGTTCATTTTTGTTTTGTTTTTTCAAATATTTGATATAATCCTTGGGAGACATGTTTGTTTGACGCAAAGCTTTGATTTTGTCATTTACAAGTAATTTCTCAAGATCCATAGCGAATAAGGACACGTAATTGGCCTTTTTTTCACAAAATGAACCAGACCGGTTTTGTATGTTACTCTTGTTCGGTTCTAACAGATTTAATAGATTCCGCGGGTACCGTGTAAACGAAAGGCGGATCCGTGCAAGTTGTTGTCCGTTCAAAACTTTGTGCGGACCCGTTTTATACGGCTTCTTAGTCTGTTTCACTTTCGATGTCGATGGGTCAGATTAACACCTCCAAAGGGACCTTGGTTTCCCTTGGCCATTAGTGAAGTCCGTGTCATTAAAGCTGTAAAATCAAGATATTAGTTTAACCCGTTTTACTCATGATGTGTCTACAGCAGCCAGTTGGTGAGCACGCCCAAGATGATACAATGACAGAGGAAAGGGCTGTGAGTAGAACCCATGAGATCATACAGCGCACCTCACAGTCATCACTCTCCATACCAGACAGACTAATAGAAACGGGCGGAGATCCAGAAATGAACACAGCACAGAGACAAGGAGTGCGCAGGTTTGTAGTCATGGCAACATTTAGGACTGACAAGTAACTTTTGGCCTGAAGTATCCAAGCACTGACTATAGCGTACTACTGATCGGTGCATTGAGGGTACCTCGCATATAAAAGGATGACGTCATCAATGACACATCGGACGCTGATTGGTCCACTTTTGTGACGTAATAGTAAACCCTGCTCTCTGATTGGCTACTCCCAGAAGTGACCCTCTATATTTCTCACTGAATTGTTCAAAGCTCCGTTTGCTGTAATTCCGCCTGGATTAACTGGAACCATAGTACATGAGTTACCATGTAAACCAACCCTGGAATTGCGCTTTTCGTACTTTGAATAACTCGGCGCGGGATCCTTGATAGCTGGTGTCTCCCTCGAGCTCCCCCTTTTCGATGAAGAGAAGTGTTCGAAGACGCATAAAGGAGACGATCTGGATCCGCCAATTGCAACTATCTCTTGATCGAGACGAGTAGTATAGTATGGATGTTTTAGACCTCTTTTTGCGTAGGAATCTCGGATCATTTTACGTTTCTGTGAAACTGCCAACCTACCCCTCCCCTGAACCTTAGGGCAAAATGTTGGCTTAGGAGAGGAGTAGGTGGGCAGTTTCCCAGAAACGTAAAATGATACGGAATCTCGTCTACTTGATCAGGGATACATTAACGACGATGACATCATAGGTGGTTGAGGAAAAATAAAAAAAGTGAAAAGGAAAAGAGAGTTAAATGCATTGTGCAGGAGCAGGGGGAAGTTGGGTAAGAAAGAAAATTGTTCTCCTGGAAAAAGCTATTTTGCTTTCGTCTTCATTAAAGCTGCGAGATGTGCGCACCAAGAATCAGTGAACCGGAATCAGAATAATGAGTTGATGGTTAGTGAACGCGATAGAAAGTAGAGCTTGCATAATTACGTTACGGTTCAGTGATTTTAAGTCACAATCGATTCAGAGCTTGATTTCTTCGCTGACATAAATCAACCAATGAATCAACCGTTTTTTTAGTTTTAAGTCAGCCAATCAAAATCAAGACATTCATCGACCTAAAAATAACTAGAAAACCTGTCAAACCGGTTAAACAACTTAAAAATAGCACGTTTCCTTATCTTAGTGCAATTCCACCGTATTTTATTCATGAGATAAAGACAAAAGGCTATGACTTCATCGGGGTTTCCGTATTCTTGCGCAAAAGTTAATGAGATTCCTGCGCAGAAAGCGGTCTAAAACATATCTACTATACTACCTAGACGGGGGAAAGATATCAATTACCGGGTCCTGGAAGTTTAATGGACTAAACGAAAACTCTTTTGCTTAGCTTAAAAACGTATGTAATTTTCAAAGCTTAAATCTCTTACATTACTACTCATATGCACAGATGGGTATTTACCAAACCTGTCGTATTCTTATAGTTGTTTGTCGGTTTTTTGGTAGGCTCCCTGAATTCGAATCGTTGGTCGAAACCATGCTTGAGAATACACTTCTCAACTTGTTAACAGAAGCAAATCGCGGAGAAGTAAATTTGACTTCACGGACAAGAGTGATTGCTCTACCACCCAACAGAACCAACAAGACCACAAGATAACGTCTGTATAGCATGGGAGGGCTGTAAATAAGTAACTTATCTACCCTTGCATCAGAAAATAAGTCAAGAATAAGAATGGCACTCATGTATTTTCGCGTGTCGTCGCATAAAAATGTGCGGCCGATGTTACGTGATCAGTCATTATATTTGAAGACGGTTTCATTGTACAATATTATGTGTTCACTTTTAACCTGAGAGTCGTCATAGTGTATAAAATATGATTCGTGTTCATTAACTTCCTCAAAATAGGGAGCTCTTTGAAACCCAGTCCCCGTTTGATTAGAAATAAACATTTTATATTATACACAATGTGTTAAAATATCTTGTCTCCTTTACTCCTAAATCACGTCCCACATAAAACGTCGCATCAGGAGGTTTCATGTCGTGGTCATGCAGTAGACGTTGAGGAAATATCCTAAAAAGCGTGATGCACGTGCAGAGCTGTTTTTCTCTTAAAATTAATTGTTTTTTGACGTCGTCGTTGTCGTGGTTGCTTTAATAAGCTCCTTGTTTTTTGCGCGAACTGCACGTGCAACGACCGTTTTTCAAAAATACCATAGTAATCTATAATGCGTGATTATTTCGGCCTTTCTTGGTTACAACCAACGGCATAATAGAATTCAGAGTGTGTATAGGCGGTTTGCCCCAGAATCTATAGCTTTATCTCTGATTAAAGAGTCCTTCCAACTCACTTCTCCTAGACGCATTAAAAAGACAAAGGTACTAAATTTAAACTATTTAGTTTTAATACCTAACTGCTTTTGCACGCTGGACCTAACACACTAAGTATGTAAATTCTCAACAAACTTACACATTCACGTGCAAATCGTGCAAAAAAGATAATGCCATATAAGGTTTACACGAGGCAGTTCGCCAACGGTAATTAAAATTTTTCGAAATGGTCTAGAACGTTTATACGAGCCTGCCGACCGCAACAAAACTGCTCGAGCGCTTTTAAGTCGAGATAAAAACGAACAAGGGGACAGCTTCGAGCCCGACAGTCTCGAAAATAAGATGACAGCTTTGGACAGGCAAATGAAAGAGAAAGGATGTACCTGTTCCGTAGTTAGCGACAGGCAGCAATTCAGTTCCTTGAAGCAAGTTTTGAATGGTAAAGCCAAACAAGTACCTCCTATAGCGGGCCAAGGAAAGCGTCCAAACAAAGCCAGGCAGGTAATTTTTTTCATGTATTTAATATTTAAGGGTAAACATACGACTTTTCTAGTTCAATTTGGAATTTACTTCCATGAGCGTGTTTTTCCAAAAAGTTCAAACATGGTTTCGTCCTAAGGGCTAAACCATGCAAATAAATTGCAAATATGAATTTGAATCATACTGCACAAAAAAATAATGACAAGAACTACTCTCCAAAGAACTTGTATTTCTTCACACAATATAACCCAAAAATTTGCTGTAACGTTCTTAATCAGATTCGTACATATTACCGTTATCAGCAACTAATATTACACATCAGCAACTTAGATTATACATCTACTCAGGATTAAGGTATCTTAATACTACGATTTATATTAAATGACATATTTTTCAGGGTATCTTGTGTTTGTCTCACAAACGTCCGTATGTAAATACATCAACTGAATACTCCCTTGCCATTCATTTAAAGTTCCATATGACCACGTCTTATATTCAAGACACAGATATAAAATAATTATTCTTACAATAAATAATTGTCACATATAATTATCTGAGTGCTTGCATGGTAAGCTAATTCATACCTCCTTTTTCTCTCTCTCCTTGCCACTTTGCGGCTCGCTCTCTCTTTCGCAAAAAAAAGATTTCAAGAAAAAATTCTGGGACCAAGGTAGAGCTGAAGTATGGCACAAATCTTGCACCAAAACCATAAATAAACCGTAAATATCCCATGAACCCCTGCACAACTCTCAACCGTGAGGTCAGAATATTAACTTCTGTCTAATTCGTTCCCACGTCTCTCGAATGTCAGAAATTACATTTTTTGAGCAAATGAGGGACACATACCCACCTAAAACCTACCTAATTACCCACCCCTGGGGTTATCCCCAACTTTTTGCCTTGCCCATCATTGGCCCTGTCGTTGGCCATAAGCACGGCCAGTATAGAGATTCCAAAAGTTACTCTGGAAAGTTATGGGTGAACATTCCACGGACTTAGATTTTTCCAAGTTAAAGACCATGGCATGCTAATTCACAGAAGTTAATGACATGTTATCTTATAATTTAATATAAAACAATTATAAGACCCAAAAAATAAGACCCACAAAAAAAAACGTCCAAGAGTTATCAGCCTCGTAGAAGTAATAACTGACTTTTTTATAACTTAAACTATTCAAAATCTAGAACATTATTTTTGAAAAGGATTACAAATTAAACAGGGTTAGTCATCCAATAGTTTGCCCCTTTAGTGATACAATGTTGTAAGCTTGACTAATACTCAGGGATTAGTAAGACTTTTTTCAAAATAAATAATTAACTCGCAAACCTCTATGAACTGTTTTTAAGAAAAGTCACTGTCACAACCTTTGAAATTAACACCAACAACATTTTCATCGCGCAAACTGTTCAAACGGACTGGAAGACGGCACACTCTCTGTATTGCTTGAATAAAGGTCGCATAGCGGTGAAAACGCCCTGCCTCCAATTCTTTGAATACGTTCTACAACTTTGACTGAAAAAGGACATTTTTGGTATCAGCAATTTTCACTCCTTTCCTCTTTTTCATCACATTCTCCACAGCGCGGCAAATGTGCTCAAGGTACCAGAAAGAAACCCTCTTATGAACAGGCAAGTACACAACATGATCTATCAGGTACTTAGCATTGTGAGGAAACAAAACATCATCCTTTTCTCTGCTAAGCGAACTGCTTGTTCCTGTGCCACTGGCTGATGGCGGAGAACACATAAACTGCGCAGATGTCATATTTGACGACCTTGGTGTCCCACTTGGTTTGGGTAAATCTGATGCAGAAGACATATTAAAAGCTGTAACAGCGCTTGTTTCAGGGAGCAAATTAGCAAGATGAAGTTCAGCATCTACATTGCTCTCTTCTTTCTTGGTATCTTCTCTTTCTCCAACCTCTTTTGTTCTGAAAACAGTGGAGAGTTGGGTTGCACCCCTGTAAGCTTCTACACCTTCTTTTTCAAGTTCCCTTACCACCTCATCTGGATTATCCTGAAAAAAAAAAAATTCTGATTTAAGACACAGTCTACCCTTTTCTTCCACATTTTCTATTTGATGATTCATTATTTTTTTTTTCATATGATGTTTATTTCTAGCTATTGAACAGCTAGGAATTTCTTTTGTTTCCTTTTTCCTTTAGTTTCCTATCAGGGTGCAAAGAAAGTCAGTTTTGCAGCTTGCCATTCGGGAAAGCTGTAGCTGGCATGTTCATTTCAACTAGCTCCAAAAACGTTTTGAGAAGCAGGATTGATAACAGAGTTCTTATGTAATTTGAATTCCTCAAAAAGCTTCATTAACCTGTAGGGCAAGTTAAGAACAGAATTCACTAGCCCGATAGCAAAATCCACTAGCACCAGGCTATCAGACACTACTTTCTTCGCATGCCACCTATGAAGTGGCCAGGGGACATAGGACATGCTCATAGAAGTGGGGAGAAATCCTCAGGTCCAGGCCCTCAGTGACAGCAAGCCCTGGATAAAAACAATGCTTAACGCTTTCTAGATACTTAGATGCTTTTAAATGTTTTATACCCATGAACTTCAAAGACAATCAGGGCCGTGCTGTAGGCAGTAACAGTGCCCAGTAGCTCTTGGTCACCTACAGCATACTTTTGCTGATTTCACCACTGGCAAATAACACTTTCTTTTTCAGTGACCAAATAAAGTAGTGTCCGATAGCCCGGGGCTAGTGGAGATTGCTATCAGGCTAGTGAATTCTTTGAAATGATGTCTGGGCTAGTAAATGCTAGCTTCAACTTGCCCGAATGGCAAGCTGTAAAAATGATTTTCTTGGCACCCTGATTTTGCTGCTTTTTTCTCTTTAGCGTGTTTTGTTTTGCTTGCTTTTTATCCTAAATATATATCAAAATCATTTTGCCACTTATTTATTACAATTATTTTATTTATAGTCTTAGGTTAGGGAGGGAGCTCATGTGATAAGCCCATGGTTTCAATTTGAGCATCCTTGCCAGAAAAATACCTCTAATTCTTCCATGTATGTAATTTACGTCATTTTTAATATTTTATTTCAAGTTTTGTGGTCACCCTGGATTTCAAGGTTCAGAGCTTTCAGGCCGCATACAATAAAGCACAGCCTTGACAAATGACATGAACTAAATCAGAAATTTTTCAACTTACCACAACAAGAGGGAAAAGCCAATAGCTAGTTATGTCTGCCTTCTTTCCAGGAACAAACACATTCTTTGGGAGATTCTGGCTTACAAAATCACCCTTCAACTTGATAGTACGGAAATCTTTTTCAGTGACATGTCTCAGTCGGTATAGCATAAACCTCAGTAGCATGGCAGATGGTTGTAGACGAAGTTTATCAATAGTTACCCCACCAGGGAAAGCTCGCAAAACTGAGATGAAGTACTCTTTATACTTAAATCCAAGCATATGAAAGGTATTGATAAAGAACCAGTTGAAAAGGGAGTTATTGAATCCGGCCATCATTAGCAAAGAGTAGCAAACAAGTTTCTTGAAGTAAGTCCACTGATCTTGAATGGGATATTCCTCCACTTTTGCTCGCATTTTTTGGAGGATTTCAGGGTTTTTTACGCCCACAACTGCTCCTCCGAAAGATGTGTAGTGCTTTATTGAACCAAAACTAAAAAATGACAAGTCAGAGAGTTCATGGCCTTTCCTTTTCAATCCCTGGAAGCACTCAGCACAGTCTTCCAAAACGTACAAACCATGATCATGAGCAACTTGAAAAACCTTCTCCAGATTGATCCATTTACCATAAAGGTGCGCTGCTAAAATGGCGACAGTTTTTTCTGTTACAGCCAGCTCGACTAGTTCAGGCTTTGGTGCTAATGTATCGAGATCGAGATCAACTGGTACAACCTTTAGTCCATGACGTTCGACAACTGACACCATGTCTGGAATATTTATCGCCGTAAAGATTACTTCTGAGCCAGCTGGAAACTTCATGACGGCAAGAAACGCATCCAGGGCAGTTCGAATGGATAAGCAGACAAGCCATTGTTCAGATCCACCAAACAATTCTTCTATTTTCCTTTGAAGTTGTCTTCTTACTTGAGCACTGGTTGTTGAAAAGCTATAAGCTGTTAAAATATCCCTCCAAGAAGCATCTAGTGAATAGGAAAGCAGTAAATAGTACACCACAGTCACACTAATAATTAAATACAGCATTCTCTAACAAGTGCCACTAAATTATTTTGATATTAAAATTAACTGCAATTCAGCCAAAATGGGTGGTCACTTCTTTCTTATGGCCTCTTAAAAAAGAAAGAGAATTTGATCGCCTGTAAGCCGAGTTTGTATTTATACATGGACTTTGACTTGCACAAAGTTAAAAAAATGGAATTCTTGTAAAGAGATTTTCCGATCATATCATTGATGATTGATCGGGTGGTCAATAATTATCCAATTATTTTAATTTTCTGATGCTTGATTATGAAATCAGAGTTGATTTCCGACACTAATGTACAGTTCTGCAGACTTAAGGAGGAGACCAAAAGTTTCAAAGATTATATATTCCGAATTCCCCATTCCCTGTCCTCAATCCCAAAATTACTCAACCGTTCAGCAGAGAAACTAAGACACTTGGCCCTTTGGCTGAGGATCCTCCTAAATTCTATTTAAAATACGAGAAATAGAAGCATCGAGAGGCATCCGAAACTAAGACTACGCAAAGAAAACTGAAGACCTTTTAAAAAATTTCTCACGAGTCAAAAATGTTTCACAATATTCGATAAAGGCGCACCCTTAGTTACGCACCTAAAAATCGAAAAAGTAGCCCAAGTATGAAAGAAAGGTAAAATCATTTCAAATTCGCTCTTTCACCGACGCAAAACAACACAGACAAAGGTATCCGAGGAAGAAAATAAGCCTCGTAGTGAACACATGTTTGAGTATTGCAAGCGGAAAAATAAGTTTATCAAGATCTAGCGGATCACAAACTAAAGGGAGAGAATTTTCGGCTTTTTACACCACATACCGATGAAGAGGCACGCATATTTCTCGGGTAAGATTGCCATAGATCTCTTTCCACCAAAATCGAAGTCGTATCAGCGACAATTCGTTTCTAACTTTTGACGCTAATCTGAAGCCATGCAATGTTATGAAGGCGTCGTCTGATTTAACGCGAGAAAGCTTGGGGCGAGTTCATCGATCACCATAGAAGCGGAACCGGAAGTCGGATATGTACAAGAATTGAAATAGAGGATATTACATGGCCGCGCGGGAACACGAATTTTATCTTCGAGTGCTGAAAGCATCTTGAAGGCATCTTTCACGAGAGTGAAGCGAACGAGTGAGAGATACTTTCAGCACGAGAAGATGAAATTCGTATCCCCAAGCGGCCATGTAATGTTCTGTTAATTTTATAGATACCAATGAAATTCCTACATAAAATACAACTTTTTTTTTATTCATTTTCGAAACAACAAAATAGTGCAATTAAAGTGGTCACCTATCGCAAAGTGCCTCTCGCAAAAATGTTATGAAACTCGGATATAAAGTTATTAAACAGAAATAACGACAATAATACTTATATTTTCTGTTCCAAAAAGTCAAAATTCTAATGAAGAGAAAAATTCCATGGCGACCCACACCAATATCCTCACACGTGAAAGATAAAAATAGTATCTTCACTTCGCGCGATGAATACATGATTTTTTAGTAAAAGGGAAAATCCTGGTATTACATCAGTATCTATATAATAAATCTTTTTTCCTTCAAAAGGTAAAATTATCAAAAATCATTACAACAACAATAATAATAATTATAATAATAATGATGATGATGATGATATTAATAGTAAAAATAGAAATATCTGTATAGTTATGTGCCGCTAAACAAAGTCGTCATTTTGCCTCCACGCTCGGTCATCTACTCTGATCAAAATTTAACCGTAATTTCATGTGGTACTGAAAGATCTTCCTTGAATTTTGACCTTGTTTTCTTCTGGGGATAAAAGGGTTGAGGTTCCCAAAGGAGCACCTCGAAATAGAAGCAGATTCTCAGTTGCCTTACACTTGTCTACAAGGCAGGACCTAAAATTGACAAGGAGGGAGGAAGAAAGACAACAAAGGAAGTAAAAGACTTTAAAATGTTTGAGCACTGGTAACCAATCTTGGTGCCCCGGTTTACTGACTGGGTACAAAGTCTCGACCTTGTTCCTACTTAGTTACCAGCATTACGCCAAAACTTGAGAAAGCAATGTGTTAACAAAGGTGTCCAGCGAAAATCTTGCACAAACTACAGATGTCTTAGAAAATTTGAATGAGAAAATATTAAAATACGCAACGAATTTAAAACACTTTTATGAATTGACAGGGTACAAACATGACAACAACCCAAGACAACCCACTTTTGGAACAACAAATTTATTATATAAGATTCTCTAAGAGTGTTACAATATTCACCTTACAAGAACATGTTAAGACAATACACTAACTTGCTTTCTGTTGTTTAAGGACCTTAAATGTGGCTATACATTTACCAAAACCTTTAGGCACTTTGATTGAACAGAATCTTACTCCTTCTTTAAGGTAAAATAACCCTACTCTGTCAAACATAAACAGTGACAAGAATAAAGGATATTAATTATTTAGCCTTGCAGTTCAGGCTGTGCTGTAAAAAAAAAATTAGGGAGTACAAAAGCTCTGAAAAATTTGAAATCCAGGGCTGTCTAGCCCGCAATACTAACAAAACAAGGCCCAGGAAATGGATCTCAGTGTTGCTTCGCAGATGTCTCTAACAAGGGTTAGATTATGTCTTTGAGGTAGGCTAGCGCTGCCCTGCACTAGTTTTGAGCAAAAATTAAGAATTGCCCAGAAACAGGAGTCTACAAAGTGGTTTTCCTCACTAGAATAAGATCCTGATGGTCCTTAGGAGCATCACACAGAGAATACACACACTGGTATTAACCCTTTAAGTCCCAATAGTGACCAACATCAATTTTCTCCTAACAATATCCATGCAACGTCAAGAGATTAGGTTATGAGAATTATTAAAATGATCACCAGAGGGAAAATGCTTTTCATCTTTTATCAAATTCTCCCAACTCATCCATGAAGGACATGTATAGAGATCAGTTTGGAGAATTTGTATGTGGATATTGGGGCTTAAAGGGCTAAGGCTAGCAATAAAGGTTTAAATAGTTTGTACAGCATAACAAACTCAAGCAGGACCACCACCACTTTAACTTTCAAAGAGATATTCCTATTAATTGGCTGATAAATAACCAAGTTAAAACACCTTGGCAATCAATGGGATCTTGGATTAGCCAATTAATGTTGATGGCCCTGTATGAATTCTTTGCACTACTGTAATTATGATTACTTAAGGGATCAGTAACAATTGAATTTCCAAAACAGAGCAAAAGAAGTGCCTTGGATGAGGTGGAAAGATGGGTGAAGTACCCCTTTGAAAAACCGCAAGGCCATTTTATTAAGTCACCAACACTACAAAAATGTAATACAGAATTCAAGACATCTTGAACTATGACATTACTATCTTGATGGTAAGCTAAGATGGCATAAACTGCCCATGAAAGCACGACACTCAACCTAGCCTACAGTAGCTACACTCCAGAACTCTGATTATAGAAATTTTTAGTCAACTTCTTCAATAGTAGGTCCACCAGACTGAGAGGAATCAGCCCCACCCCCTTGAGAAAAGCCTCCCGCCCCAGGGGGTGGAGGAGCACCACCACCAGCGCCCTGGTATAGCTTTGTAATTACAGGATTACAGACACCCTCTAGTTCCTTCTGTTTTCGTTCATATTCATCTTTACTTGCTTCTGGATTCTCCTCCAGCCAGCTGAGAGCTTCTTTACATTTCTCAACAATCATGTCTCGGTCAGACTCTGAGATCTTGTCTTTCACCTGTGGAGTAAAATGTAAACACCTTGTTACAAAAGCCAACCAACAGCATGGTTCCTAGCATGGTTTCAATGTCAGAGAAACCGTTTGAATGATGTACTTTGTGGGTGCATTCTTTTGGGATGATGCAGATCAGGGTCATTGATCTGAGATCACTCAGATCATGGTAGGGTGGATTCATTAGTTCCTTTGATGTGCCATGATCCGAGTGATCCTGGATTACTGATCCCGATGTGGATCATCCCAAAGAAACACACCCAGTGAATCCTATAGCAGTGTCTGCAAGATTTGCTCAGAAACTGGAATAAGGGAATACACTGTACATAGAACAACTTATTTCCCACAAATAGAGTCTGACTGCAGTAAAGCTTGGTGTCAATCAAGTATCATCTTTTACATTGACGCAACATTTGCATTTATACATTCAGTTTGTTACAGGAAAAGCTGAACAAGTTGCCCCATTAAGTGCTCCTTTTAGAATAAGTTTACCCATTGGGATCCAAATCAGGGTGCAAAGACAATCATTTTTACAGTTTGCCCGCTAGCACTTACTAGCCCAGAAGTCATTTCAACTAGCCCCGAAAGCTTTTTGATGAGCAGAATTGATTTCACAGTTCTTCTGTTATTCAAATTCCTCAAAAAACATCAATTGCCCATCGGGCAAGTTAAAAACAGAATTCACTAGCCTGATAGAAAAATCCACTAGCCCCGGGCTATCGGACACTACTTTCTTTGCACGCTGCAAATGATAAAAGGAACGATTATTTATAATTTACTACGGAATTATGATTAACCTTGTCATCCTCTACTGTGCTCTTCATGTGGTAAGCATAACTTTCAAGCGAGTTCTTAGCCTGGATTTTGTCTCTTTGTAAATCATCTTCAGCCTTGTACTTCTCTGCCTCTCGGACCATCCGATCAATATCGTCCTTGGACAGGCGGCCCTTGTCATTAGTAATGGTGATCTTGTTTTCACGTCCTGTACTCTTGTCTACAGCCGACACATTTAAGATGCCATTTGCATCAATGTCGTAGGTGATTTCAATTTGTGGAACACCCCGCGGAGCAGGGGGGATCCCAGACAGCTCAAACTTTCCAAGGAGGTTGTTGCCAGATGTCATGCCTCTCTCCCCCTCAAATACCTGAAAAAATTAACATTTTTATAATAAACATTATATTAAGGCTGGTTTTAACTAGCGACAGAGTCAGAGTCATAAGGGAAGTCGTAAGTCGTAAGCACAACGGAAACAGAGTCAGAAGAATCTCCATTTTCTTCCCACAACCCCATCACTTGTGATCCACTTGTGATCTAGTGAAAACCAGATTGTCAGCATTGGAAGAACAAGCAGAAGGATAAACCAATCACAATGCACATTCTCATGCTTTGAGATTGCTTTAGGTTCCTCCGCTTCTGCTTGTAACCCAGACAATCCAGTTTTCACTTGATCGTAAGCGACAGAGTCATAAGCAGAATCAGATGAATCAGAACACTGTTTTCACTAAATCATAAAGTTCCATGCTTCTGATTATGACTCCGATACCAGTGAAAACCAGCCTTTAGGCCTTGCTCCACCTTACAAGGCTGTGCTCTAGCAGAGCCTGTTGGGCTGTAGCACCCAGCTTTTGCTCCTGGGTGACTAGAAAATCTTAGTGTTTTATATACAAATCATATGCCAGATGGCCTGGATTTCACAAGTTCAGACGAATGGGCTACTTTCAATTTTTCTTGGAGCAAAGCCTTTCCTATGACCATGGTCATGCTGATTATTTCAACCAATATTAGTATTAATAAAGAAGGCATGGAGCACTTATCATGATGTCTCTGTCGCACTTCTACCATAAGGGAACATTAAAGTTTTTTACGGGTAGAAGGGGATGGTAGGATTCGATGACCCCCTCAAAAAAAGAAATGTTTTGGGGTAGAATTACTTTGTCAATATATCAAAATTACAAAAAATCTTGACAAAATTCATTGGACTAGAAATGGTCAAAAATTAATAAATAAAATTTTTCACGTCGTAACGTCATATCGACATATTTCTTTGTGTGTACTAGAGAAGTTTTGTTCAACTCTTACTTTCCACGACAGAATTTTGTCACAGATAAAAAGATTTGCACAAAAATTCTTCTCTACACAAAGCAATTTGCCACTGGCACTTGTCGTCTGACCTGTGCAGAAGGAGTGATTTGCCACCAACTTCATGTCAAATGGTGTGTTTCAACCTTAAGACATAGCCAAATTTCTTACAGAAGATGACAGTTTTGATAGTCTTCAGACATATTTCTCAAAACTAGTGATATTATTATCAGGTTTTTAATTTGCTTTGTTTCTTAATCAAAAAAGGCTCAATTACCTGGATAAGCACACTGGTCTGGTTGTCTGAATAAGTGGTAAAGCTCTGTGTCTGTTTGGTGGGTATTGTTGTGTTGCGCTTGATGAGCGTCGTCATGACACCACCAGCCGTCTCTATTCCCAGCGACAAGGGGGTGACATCTAAAAGCAACAGGTCCTGGACTTCGCTGCTCTTATCACCACTCAGGATGGCAGCTTGTACTGCAGCTCCATAGGCTACAGCTTCGTCAGGGTTGATGCTCTTGTTGAGCTCCCTATTGTCAAAAAATTTGGAGAGGTGCTCCTGAATCTTCGGGATACGAGTGGAGCCGCCAACCAGCACTACTTCATGAATCTGAGGCTTGGAGAGACTAGCATCACGTAGTGCCTTCTCAACTGGCTTCAGTGTGTCTTCGAAGTATCTTGCATTTAAAGATTCAAACTTGGCTCTGGTGAGTGTCGTGTAGAAGTCTATTCCCTCAAACAGGGAGTCAATCTCGATGCTGCTTTGTGTGCTAGAAGACAGGGTCCTCTTGGCCCGTTCACATGCAGTGCGCAAGCGTCGCAGTGCACGTTTGTTAGTGGTCAGGTCTTTCTTATACTTCCTTTTGAATTCTTCCACAAAGTGGTCCACGACCCTGTTGTCAAAGTCTTCTCCTCCCAAGTGGGTGTCCCCTGCTGTTGACTTGACTTCAAAGATTCCTTCTTCAATGCTCAGAATAGAAACATCAAATGTCCCTCCTCCCAGATCAAAGATCAGGACATTCCGCTCAGCTCCAACTTTCTTGTCAAGGCCATAGGCTATAGCAGCCGCTGTTGGCTCATTGATGATACGCAGGACATTGAGACCAGCGATTACGCCTACAAGGAAAAAAAAGCTGTACATGACCTCCATATCAAAACACATTTTCTCACAAAAGCATCTTCAGCGTGCAAAGAAAGTCAGTTTTACAGCTTGCCATTCAGGCGAGCTGTACCTAGCATGTACTAGTCCAAAATTCATTTCAAATAGCCCCAAAAACTTTTCGATAAGCAAGATTGATTACACAGTTGTTAAGTAATTTGAATTCCTCAAAAAACTTCACTTGCTCATCGGGCAAGTTAACAACAGACTTCACTAGCCCGATAGCAAAATCCACTTGCACCGGGCTATCAGACACTACTTTCTTTGCACGCTGATTTGGGGGGTTTGAGGTGCCCTTCAAACTAGGTTTGAGAGGGTTGAAACCTTTTACAAACCCTTTTGAAGAATTTGGCAAACTCTTTGCAAACCATTTTTCTTCACAGATTGTTTGGAATCCTTTACAAACTAGGTTAGAAGGGTTTGAAACATAGCCAAGTTGGACGTGTTTTACTAAGGTTTTTCGCACTTTTGAGCCTTTTCTCCTTAAGAATTAGAATGACTACAATCATGGGCAATAGTCTTGGGACACATTTGCGTTTGTGGGACTTTCTTTAATTCCCACATGCTCACAACTCCTTCCACCCCCCCCGCCCGAATTTTTCCTAGAGTCAACATTGTAAAGGAGGAGGAGGGAGAACTGCATGATATTTTCACAGAGGTTGCAATGTTTTATGAGGGCTACCAGAAATTAAAGAAAATTGGGATATTGTTCACAATCAAATTTCCTGATTTGTAAACATATTCTTCTCCTTAGTCTTAAAACAATATTGTATAGAGATCAGTAATGAGAATATGTACTTTGATACTAGGGCTTACTTACCAGCATCTTTGGTGGCCTGACGCTGGGAGTCATTAAAATATGCAGGCACTGTGACGACGGCATCAGTGACAGTTTTACCAAGGTAAGCTTCTGCTGTTTCTTTCATTTTTGTTAACACCATGGAGGAAATCTGTCAGTGGAAAATAATGGACACTCTTGTCAAATCATTTCTATAATTCAGCCTGGTTTATCCTTTCAGCACAATCTTTCGTGGGATCTAAGTTTTGCAATTTTACCTGGAGGGAAAACATTTAAGTGCAACATACTCATACATGCAGAAATAGTTAGCACATAACACTTTTTTTTTGTCCTAACGCTTAAATCTCAAGAACAGCAGGGGTACTTTAGGGACTCTTTCACTTTCACTTTCCACATCACGACTTGACTTGAAAAAATCTGTACTCTATCCCTGAGATTATAAACAGGATTAAATTCTTCTATAAGCAACTGGGAAAATTCCAGAAAATTCGCTGGTCATGCATAATTGACTAAATATTTGCGAAACAATATAATTTATACCTTTAACAGAAAATCAATTTATCCGTACAATTTACTTAAGCGTACCTCCTCCGCGTAGAATGTTTTGGTTTCTCCCTTGTAATCCACACGTATCTTAGGTCTGCCAGACTCGTTGACCACCTATCCGAAAAAGAAATACTTCTTCTTGAAAACTGCTCACAAAAGCGTCTACATAGAGACAATTAAATTAAACCTTGCCTTCCTGTTTACAATAGTTAGCGAACAGTAACATCCAGAAACATGGCATTGTACAACTCCCTACAATATGTGCGAAAAATCTAATTAGCCTCCGGCTTTCTGAGCTATCGTCTTCTAGGTCCCTTTCTTTTCAAATGTAAAAAATCCACCAGAATCTTACCTGAAATGGCCAGTGTGTCATGTCGGATTGGACAGCGGGATCATCAAATCTTCGTCCGATCAGACGCTTCGCATCTGTAAATAGCAAAAAGCGCTACAATTACAACCGATGCATTCAAAGCTCACGCAATTCGTTCAAAGCTTACCAAAAATCGTATTAGTTGGATTCATAGCGACTTGGTTTTTCGCAGGATCTCCGATCAATCGTTCGGTTTCCGTGAAGGCCACATAACTCGGTGTTGTTCGGTTTCCTTGATCGTTCGCGATGATTTCCACTTTTCCATGTTGAAAAACTCCAACACAGGAGTACGTGGTACCAAGATCGATCCCAATGGCTGGTCCTTTCGACATTTTCACAGACAATCGAAGAGGAAAATAACAAAATCAGCCGTCTACAGCCTTCGCTGGTTTCAGCACAAACCGTGGAACACGATGTCTTTCGAAATGTACAAAGTCACGTGATCAACATTCCGCCCATTCGCTCCAGCTCCGCTCTCCCCAGTGAGGGCGCGTGATTTCGCGGGAGGAACCGCGACTGCTCAAAGATTTTCGCAAAACAACAAGGGAGCCTGCTCGCAGGTTAGGGCCGATGCTGTGTCGAATTATACTCTGAGGCCTCTGGGATTGTTTTGATGAATATGATCCACTTCCCCGCGCAACCTCGAAAAGATCTTTCAAGACGCTTCTGTACGTTCCATAGTGCAATCCGACAAAAAATAGGCCCAGTCCGCTAGCTCGCTCATATCAGGCGGACGCTCGAAACAGTCAACTGAAAGAACAAAATAGCATTTCGATTTACTAATAATACTGTCATGGACACCTCTGGACGGGCACTAGGCCTGTCCGTTTTAGAAAGGGTCCGTTTTAAAGGGCGGTCATAGAAAAATGACTGAAGAACGGCAGGATGAAGGGGCCAACCCTGGCTGCTAGCTGTCCGTTTTATTAGTGGGGAGATCGCCAGTATAGGTGTGTCCCAAATGAGAGAATTAACCATAACGTCTGCTCTTACGAAAGTTAGCCAAGTTCCTTTTAGCAAAAACTGCTCTTTTTTATTGCAATAAACGAGTCGTAAACCGACGAGGATAATAAATTTTATTAGCAAGCAAAAACCCTAATAACTGGCATAGCCACAACACAGTTTGGTAGCAGAATTTCTCCTGTTATCAAACAGGCCTATCGCACTACTGTAGGAGCCCATAACCTGCAGCGAGCAACTCCATGCACTCGTGTCACGGCGTTTTCACAGAGCAGTTTATTTTTAGAACGGTTTTGGCGCGAATTTAGAAAATCTTTTTAAAAGTCCCACAAACCATTCAGCAAAACCTACAGAACTAAAAATGATAATTTTTGCCTTTATAATGACGTTACGTTTTCCTTTTTGATTTCATAGGCGAGGCGGAGATTCCATTTTCGCGGGAAAAAGTGCCCTAAAATGTGTCTAAAAATAAACCGGTCGGTAATAACGCTGTGACATATAGGCCTCACGGGAGTTGCTCGCTCCGTGTTATGGGCTCTTGACTACTGTCTTGACTACTGTCAACTCCCTCTAAGATGGACACCTTTGGGACCGCACGCACAGTGTGTGTACTTCTAAGAGAGATGTCCGTCTTATAGAGAGTCAGATAAAGGGAATAAAGAGAGGCAGGGACCAACTCTAAGTGTCCATTTTACAGAGGTGTCCGTTAAGAGAGAGTCGACTATAAGCTAATGTGCCTGAGAAAATATGATTGAATGCTATTTGTCTTCAAATGTTCAAGTAAGTTTTGTTTTTCTTTTCTTGGTTCCTAAGTGTCCTTCTTAATTGTGTACAGGCAACTGTCTCTTTGATACCTTTGGGACAATACTAAGTGTAGCTTAGTTAAGCTCGTGAGAGACTGGGTCAATGTCGTGTCGAATTGCACTATGGGACTGTTTTTCCGTTACAAAGTTGGGCCGGAAAGTGGCTCAAACTTTCGCTCCCCAAAACAGCCTTATAGCGCAGTTCGATACAACACAGATCCAGTCTCTGTCGCAACCGTAAATTAGGTCATCTTAGCAATCTTATTGCCATTTCATCGAGTCTTCTGTAGGGCCTCGTAAATTGCGAAAACAGGACTGAAGAAAGACAGCCCTGGTCTATCCGCTTGATGGCTGTTGTTATTAGGGAGCTTAAGCAACAACGTTTTTGAGCGACGCACGTCAACCGGAAGTGGCCTTTTTTCATTTTTTGACGGTGGTTTCGCGCAAATTTTCAGTCAAATCGCCTCTATAACAGTAAAGAAGCTAAGGAATACAAATTTTATATCATCAAGGCATGTTAAGAGGGAAAATACCTCACTTCCGGTTGACGTGCGTCGCTCAAAAACGTTGCTGCTTAAGCTCCCTATTAGTCCGATGGGAACGTCATTTGACGACGACGCGCGCAAATCAAACAACTGGATTGACCAATGGCTGAGCGGCAAACTGGGCACCGGAAGTCGAGTTTAGTCCTTTCAACGCGCTTTCCCGTCGTCAAATGACGATCCCGTTCCGTTGCTAAATTTACGGAAGTGGTCTCCGAGGTCTCCGTTAAGAGAGAGTCGACTGTATTTCTAGTATAGCAAGGAGCTCTTAAGTAAAGCAAATTGTTTGTGCAAATACCCAAATAAGTAATTTCAAGTCACAGGTCAGCTGTTACCTACCATCCTACTGTTTGGAACGCTGTTAATGTTTCTGTTATTGCAAATGCAGCTTTGTATTTCAAAAGTCGCAAAATCAGTCGAGTCAGTGTTCATTGTGTTCATTCTTGTACCCAGATCCCACTCTGTCTTACGCTAAAAAGGATCCTTTCCCTTGGCCGTTGGAGATCTGGATACGAGATTACCCCAAGTCTTTCCCCTTTTGCCATAGGAAAAGCCCTAGGGACGAAAAATACCATAATATTCTTTGATTTGAAATGCTAGTTTTAACTGAGAGGTGCGTCGTGTAAGCCCGGTTTTTCAAAGCATGAAATATACGCGACTGACAATTTGTCTGCTACGTTTACACATCAAAAATGTGGTTAAGTATTCATGCATTTTTTTTTTTGATAATAATGCTGTTAGGATTCCTCAATAAAACAATAAAGCTAAATTCTACGGCAAGCAACACCTACATCTGAAATGAATTTACTCGTCCAATTTTAGCGGGAAGAGCCAGGAATTTTTTTCCGGCGGGGTTGAGACTGCACATGAATGAAAGAGTATTATGGTATTTTTTTGTAGTTTATTAGTTGAAAATACAAAAATTAAAAATGGTTTTCCTTCCTTCACATGAGTTCGTCATGACGTCATGATCTAGCACCAGGTGCGTGTATATCGCCTGTTTCCAATCAACTTCGTGTTTGCGTCACACTCGGTGTAGCTCCCCACAGAAAATCCGCGGGAGCTCTGGCTTCTTCCTTGTTCTTTGTCCTGATATGTGGGAGAGCAGTCCGTGTCCTTTGAAACTTTGTCCAGGATGAACTTCTGACAAACTTAAATAAAAAGTAAAGAAAAATCATATCGTCTTTATACATATTTGTTTTACTTTTCACTCCAATGACAATATTTCATAGGAGTGAGGAAGACAAAGTGCGCCGTCCACCAATATTGGCACATAAAGAGGTAACAATTTCGAAGTGAGACAGAATTGCAAGAATATTTCCTTTCCTGGGAGAATTTTCACAACTGAACCTATAATTTGCTTAACTGTTAAATGCAATCAAGATGTTCTCTTGATGCAATAGAAAATTAAGGAAATCCTTGAAACATAAATTTGAGGAGAACAAAAACATCCCGGCCAAATATTAAAGGATTTCGGTGCCTCACGAGACCGCCTAACTTTCCTGAAAGTTTCAAAATAACTGGGAAACCTGTTCTATCTGTAATCAGTAACTACCTTGTATGATATATTGCTTAAAAAATAAAACACCCTGGCGGCCATAAGGAAAACTCGAATGGTGTACAAAACAAGAAATGAGAACAAAGATGAAATTGTCACTGAATTGTGCAACTAACAGGGGAACTTTCATTGCGCCTGTCAAATATATCTTATATCATCACAACAAAGTTATGTTTGTTTATTTGGTAACTACAGTACTTAGAAATTCAATGATCCGTTACTTGTTTATTTTGCAGAGGTTCTGTTGATGTGGTAACGAGAAACCGGGTCATGGTTTCTTTCTACACTTGCAAAAATGTTGCAATTAACTATTGTGCTGATGTTTAGGTATTATGTGCTTTTGATAACTCTGAATTCAAGATGGCGGTCATCGTAGCCGCCATTTTGAATTATCAACCGCGTCCCAGGGTTCAATGATGTCACTGGCCCACAAGCGCCATCACGCGGTAACATTTTCTGATTCTTGCACCAAAATCTTATAACAGGGGTGGAAATCATGGTCTACAGAACGTGAAAGCAACTGTCTGCCCGCTGCATTCTCTAATCAGTCTAATGCTGATTCATGCTCTCTTTGCTTAATTTTAGAGTTTATTTGCGAGTAAACAAGTCTTTAATAATATTGCCTTTGAACTAAATGTTTTTTAATTAAAATCTTATTGTTGGCTGAGCTAACCGCAAGCTTTTCCGATTTTAAGGTTTGATGATTTTCAAACAAAGAAAATAGCCGACATGAAATAAAGCAAGTTGTAGTTGTTTCTTTTACAAATGTTTCAAACCTTAGATAGAAAAATGCCGAGAGTAATTTAAATCTTGGAGAAAAAAAGCGTAGAATAAGAAATCTTGTGAAACGGCTTTTGACTCAGTCCAGCTCTCGTCGGCTACCTTCAACAAAAAACTTGTGACGGCTTTCTTTGTAGAAAATCACAACATCCTGTAGTTATTAGTATATTCGTGTTACTGCACGGCTTTTGATAATTCGCGTAATTATTTGGTTTTATCATAAGATGTTATCACACTTTTAATAAATCTTTTTTTTTTTCACCGCAAGACGTTGTTGTTTTAACTTTTCATCACAGTAATTTAGTATATAAAGCTGATGCATGAATGTTGCCAACGACCCTCTTAAGCAATAAAACCCTTGAATCAGGTCTTTATCAGCAATTCAGAAAGGCGTTTGTTTAGATAATAAAAACTAAATAACACTTATTTGTTTAATATTTATCAGTTTAACAGAAGCGAACAGAGAAAAAGATGCCACCTTTTACAGCTTTAAGGTTGCTCAGATAAACGTTTTTCTTAAAGTTGAACTCTGAAAGTTGGAGACTTTTGGTTAAGGTTTGCACCAATGTGAATGGGTCGAAACTGGTAATGGCTTTCGAATTCGCCTCAGGCAGAAATTTCATAGAAATGTTGGCTCACACAGTGTTAGTCTCCCACGCAGGCGTTTGTAGGAGACCTCGTTTTTCATCCCTTTATGAGGGATGAAAACCGAGTTCCCCTAAAAACGCCTGCGTGGGAGACTAACACAGTGTTGACGCAGCTGGAATGCTTCGTACAATATCTGTCAAATTAGCGCAAGCTCGATAATTGGGCTATTGTTTACAGCCCAAATTAACCGTTTTATGTCCATTTTTCTAGAAAATTCTGTTTACTTGTTGAAAACTTTAAATTCTAATTAAGCTCGCTACACAACGTTATTTTTAATTTCACCTTTTTCTCAATATTCGCTTTGAGTGCAAAGTTGAGTAAAGCGGAAAATTTTGGTAGAAAGTCAGTACCTAAGCGACCAGCATTAATTTGATGGTCATATTTGCTTACTTTTACAAGTAATGAGTGCGCGTTATCTTCTCAGCTATATTCAGTGCCAGAGAGCTAAGTATAAATCCTCTCTAAACATGACAGCCTCTTCTAGTAAAAACTTATCCTATCGACTTTCCTTACCATAACAGCCACAGGGCCACAGGAAATTGCGCGGCACAAACCCTTGTTCCCCATGCGCGTTTTCCACCCACCACCAATCTTGGTCATCTTTGTTCAGCACTTTGACAAGCTCTCCTCTTCGAACAGCGATTTCATCGTCATCACAGGCTTGGAATTCAAACAAGACCCTCAACATGGGCTGTCTCTCAATGAACTTTAGGGAGACACGGGACAACGAGTCGCGGGATTCCAGAAACACCGAATCTCGGAGCCCTCGAATTGAACATCGCGTTAGATCAACCCGCTGGAACGAGTTACGGGAACGGGACTCCCTCTGCAGTGATTCATCCTCCGGGTGCGATTCTCGGGATTCCCGACTCGAGCGTGAGCTGCGGGATTCCCGAAAAGGGCTTCTCAATGGGTCGGCACGAAAGAAATTTACTTTGCCATCATCCACAAGATCTTCGTTAATACTTGTGCAGCTATTTGCAGGAAGAATGATATTCACGACTTGCGGGGTTTGGTTTTCTTTCAACTTTGTATCTTGTTGCTTCTGTGTGGCGGCTTTTTTCTCCTCTTCCGGTTTGAAGTTCCCGATGATTCGTCTAGTCTTTCCGATAATCTTTTTTGTAGCCCGATGAAGAAAGCTTTCGGTTCTTGCTGACCACTCAGAGAGCCCAATCTTCTGACGACTCTTCTCTTCGCGTTCCTTCGACTCTTGCTTTTTTGGAGTGAAGCAACCCCATGTTTTCGTTTTGTAAGCGGTGATCTGTACAGGATTATGGCTGTTTTCACCATAAGCCACGCTTACATCATCTTGAAAACCAGAATCGTCGTCAGGCTGGACAACCCAGTAATCTAAATAAAATGCAACAACATAATAATTCGATTTTCTCAGAACATCCACAAGACTACTAAAGAGTTTAATTCGTGATTGAAGGTAACGAGCAAACGTCAAGCAGATAGCTGGCGCCTTGAATGGAGTTAAGTTGACGTAAGGGTTATTGTCTCAAGACTTAAAAGGCAAACGCGACGTAAATCTCACCTTTTTTCACCATTTCCAAAGCTTGTTCAAGCAACCCAGAAACATCGTGTCCTGTATTATGCTTCAGCTATTTCAAAGCTTCACTTGCTACCCCTGAGGAGATTTTAAATTGAAAACGAAATTTAACAAGAATCTGTTAAGAAACGTTTGTTTTGTAAATGACCAAACAAATCTTACCTTTAGTTAGCTCATTACATCAGCAGCTGTTCAAGTATCTTAGGCTGAATGAAGAAGAGTGATATTTGATGGAGCATATATTAACAAATTTTGCAGTGAAATATAACGTCACGAAATGGAATAATGATTACCATTAATTACTCTAAAATTATCCCCAAAGCGACGCCGAATAACAAGTCACAGTAAAGAAACTTTTTAATTTTCCGCTTGACTATAAACTGTCTCCTACGGTGCATTTGCTCAATTAAAATGTATTAATATGCAAATAAGGGTGTCGCTTCAAACGGGGCGGAAAACCTCTTGAAAGCTAAGTATTAGAAGTACGCAAGAACACAACTTAGACAAACAATACTGAGAACAACACAGAACGTGCTTCTTGGAATTCCGTAGCGGAAACTTGCTTTAAAACTGCGTTTAAGTTGGCAAACTGGGCAGTAAGACTCCATCCAGATCTAGAGAAACTGCAAGGGGATTTATCTAGATTTTTTAGAGGTTAAAACTGCATTCGTGCTGTGACTGAAAGAAGTTGAGAAGAAATATACTGAGAAACAAATACAATTAGCTTAAGATTTCAACTGAACTGTTTCCTTGCATATCTGCATTTAAATTTTAGCAGATTAGCGAAAGAGCTCAGTGGTTATCTCTACTCTCCTCTGGCAACAAGAACATTATGAGATTTGTGATATAACATAAAGAAAGTTTTCTGGGCTGAAGGCAAGTTAAACCATTTAAACATGAACAAACTTCTTTGTTAGAAAACTTTTAACCAACAAAACTACCTCTTAATTGGCGTTTCCACTCAAAAGTGTGTTTACGAAGGTTTCAATATTAAACATATATCTCGACCATTAGCCCATGTGATCGACTGAGTGTTGGTGAAACGTTTTCTTCCTTAAAAATCGAAAATCAGAAATATCTTACCGTGCCGAAATTGGAGTGAAAGTTTCCACTCGAGCTCAGAGCTGGTCAAGTACCAGTTCGAGCACTTGTGATTTCTTTTTTTTTTTTTCTTAGTTATTTTTCGTAGGATGGTAGTTAAGGGTAGGATTGTGTATTGATCAGGCGTTTCGCCTTTGTAGTTTCAAATAAAGGCGTATTTTAACGCCATGAATTTATTGTATTGATCATCAAGCCTTCATCTCCAGGATAACAGAGCAGAAAATTGTCGAAACGGTTTTAAAAATCGACTTGCAAGAGTCATTAAACTCCGTCAGAGTAACAAGGTTGTACTAAAAAAAAACAAAAAACAAAACAATGCTCCGGAAAATGACTTTTATTTGCAGTGTTTATTGGGTGGTTAAAATTCAGTACTAATTCAGTCTCTATAATCAAGTAATATAGACATTATGGCTCTTTTTGTGAGTTCGGTTTCTGACACACTTGAAAGTGCTGCTCAGTCACAGTGCAGCTTTCATTAAAATATTTTAAAATTCACTTTAGGATTCCATCCATACACATGCTTGGAATTTAGAGCCTCGGCATTGTATAACATGATTTACTACTGATCAGACAGGAAACTATTCTTCATTAGTCGTGTTTAAATGATGCTCACACTATAGTATTTTACCCACAAACTAATACATTAAGTTCACCTTGAAACAATACCACAGAAAAGTAATGCTCAGTGGCTTTTATTGGTATCGTGGGGTTATACTTGAACTCTTGTCCTATATATATCGAAGAGCCATAATTTTATCGTGTAAATCATAATAAACAATACAAACTGGAGAAAGTAATGCTTAGTCTCTTTCATTTGAATGAATTGGATGGTTACAGCATGCAAGATTTTAGCCCCCAATTACCAACTTGTAGAGGAAGTTACTGCACATCAGTTCTTCCCTGAAAGGCACATTGGATGTGACCGAGTTTAACTCCGTGGATAGTTCGTACCGTTTTCATAACAATATCGAAAATTGTAATTTTAGATAGCCTTAAAAGCTTATAGAGTCCATCATAGCCTGATATCAAGAAATCTACAATAAAATGAGCCTTTGAGTCGCGCCAAAGCATAAAAATTATAGACAAGGTTCTTTTTCTTTCAATATGTTTCTGACGAGCGTGTAATGTCCATTTTCTTTCGATTTAACTCCACGATCTTCAACTGACTTTCAGCGAATTGTCTGCATGAATATAAGCGGAAAATGGGCTTTGTTCTAAGGATACACGTAATTGATTCAAGGACGTACGTAAAATCTAAAGAGCTTTTAAGAGTTTCAGGAAAGGCATTGGTTTTTGTAAATTACGCACGGGCCAATCTTGACCCTGGTAACTCCCAAATCATTTGCAGTTTTGCTTTCGACTTCTTCCCCCACTGAAAAACTCTGCTTAAAACTTGGAGTTTGCTGTCAAAACAAAAAAGATGAGCGGTTATTGCAAGAAATCAAGAATTCTGTTGCAAGGACAACATTTCATCATCTAAAAAAAAAAAAAACAAATAAAAAGATTCATCTACATTTTCCCTCCTTTTGGGGGGGGGCAGAAAATGCTACTTCAATCTCCTTTATTACAAGTAGCCAATTCCTTTAACTTTTCGCACCCGGAGCTAAATTATTAATTTTTCCATGCGTATCTTTATTTATGATCTTTTATAGATTGGAGTTAACGTCAATACGTGGTAAAAACAAAAAATCATACCAACAAGCCGCAGACAAATTGGCGACAAGTTGGTCACGAGCGACATCCGCAACTGAAATAACAACGAAATGCACCTATTTAATATTTCACCCCATGCTATAGCTAAAACTGGGCTCGAAGTCTATTCCAGGATTTTTTGACTAATTTTAGTACTGCATTTTGTTTAAGTGTTCTCGTTTGTGGGTAGCTATGCCAGTGCAATCTTTTATCTGACGCATCCATAATACAAGATACCGTTGCCTACATTTTCCAAAACTGTGCGCCTTGCTAGAGAAAGCAATGAGAAAATTCTCCACTCATCTTTGTACCTGTATTCTAAATTCATCTTAAGTCACCATTTTGAGTCGCGAGTAAACAGGCGAGAACTTCACTGCGATCTGTCGCCCGCGAAATCGACGTTGTTTCGTAGCTGCCCCAACTTTCATGCGGTTTATCAGCGATTTTCTGCGACGTGCTATGCGTTTAAAACGCATGCGCTCTACAGTAGCCACTGATTGAAAGGCTGGAGCTCAGGTAACTTTCATCAAGGAAGTATTACAATTAAAATTCGTAATTACAAAGTCACATTGAATACTGACCTCAAGGACAACAGAAAAATTAAAGGAATATGCTCTCGTGATTAAGGGCTCTGTTTCTGGTGAAATATAGTAAGCGGCCATTTTTACGACTATATCATTCTGCGCCTTCCGAGAAAACTAGTCAAAAAATTTTCCGTGTTGTATTTCCGCATGGGATGAGCGTAACCTAATTTACAAGTTAACTGTTTCATAAGGACAGGCATTTTCATACCGTTGACCCCTCCTTTAAGCGAACACCTAAAAAAGGCCGCTGATTTAACTGTAAGTCGCCTGTGGTACTATGCTTCCGTGAACAGATCTGAGTGTGCTGAGACATCCTTTTATTATGGTGTCTCTTAGTTGCGTCGGAAGAACAAGGAACACAATATGCCCTTTATACAAGGAAAAATAAGACACGTTCCATCAGAAACGATCTTCCCGTATAAATGCTATCTAAAAACAGCGCTTAACACCTGCTCTTAAATAAGGTGCTTCTTAGCTAAGACGAAGAAAACCTCGTATAAATGATTTTTGCGTCTTAAATTAAGACGTGAACGTATAGTGCGCATGCGTAACACGCGCCATGTTGGAATGCCGTTGCTACAGGCAATATTTACACGAAAATGAGTCAGTGCCTTAAAGTAAAAATGCGAACCATCTGTACCAGCTATTCGCTTCTTATGTAAGACATGCTCGTATAAATGTTACAGTTCGCGTATTTTTCTGGACGTGCCCTACTTTTCCTTGTAAAATTAAGACGATCTAATTGCTAAATGATTCAAA